ATTTATATTTATATTTATACATATATATAATATATATATATATATATCCATTGTCCTGCTATTAAGCCAACGGCCTTGTCACCGGCCCAACTCACTGTCCTCCGAAGGATGCAGCATCCAGGTGGCCCCCGTGCCCGAAGTGAATCGAAGGCGAGAAAAGCCACTGCTTGCAGTCGGGACCGAGCTGACCACAAGCCAGGCGGACGACGCGCAGCAAGTCCGGCTGATCTAGTCATGTGGCGCGCCGCTTGGAATCGAGTCTCTGGATCGCTTATAAAAACGAGCGCAAAACACATGTGTCACAGACATCGCCCGGAACAAAAAGGTCGGAGCGACGAGCTGCCAAAGTCTCTCCAATCCTCATCACGGCACCCCATGTCAGAGCCAGCGTGCATTCAAAACGCGGCCATCCCCAGAGCTGCCGATGTGATGGTCGAAAGAAGGACCTGCCAGGGATGAGCAACATGATGGGATTGCGGCTGTTCTCTTAGCCAGGCAAAAGCTAAGTCCCAGGAGGGCTGCAAGCACCTCCTCAGAGCCGGCTCCTTGCTGGCAACAGCATCGATGACCTCCGAATAATGAGAATACAGCCAGCTTGCATCAAAAAGCTGCCTGCCAGAGCACACCAATCAGGAGGGTGTTCAATCTCTTTGTGTTGGCCGGTGCCAGGTCCAGCAAGGTTTGCAGCTCAATGTAATTATCGACCTTCCAACCACGACGCAAGAGCCTGCAGTAGCTTGTTGCGCCGCTTCTGCGTAACAGGCTCGACCTGCCTGCCCCCAGCCAACACGACAGCAGAACGAGCTTTCGACCGCTTTTCGTCAGCGGCATGGCACGGGCGCAGGACATGGCCCGGAGCAGCAAAGGCAGCAACCCAAAGAAGACCCTGAACGTAAAAATTGAACAAAAGCTCAGATGCAGCTGGCGTTGGGCGACAGGTCCGATGGAAAGCAGGAACAAATCCAGCCACGAGGCAGCGGGCCGCGGTCTTGCGAAGCATGGGCTGCAGGCCTTCGGAAGGGCTGCGGCCTTTGGCGCAAGAGTGAAGCGCAACGCCAAATCCACCAGAGCATTTATGATGGAGGCGACTTCAAGAATATTGATGTGAGCTGTGGCCGCCAACACACATCATCACCAGCCTCCCACTGATATTGTTCAGGACTAGCTCTCCAAACCCTCCAGGGAAAGGCTGTGGAGGGAGCTGACATGAGACAGCCGACGACTGGCACCCTCAAACTCAGAGGCAAGAGCCTTGGCAAAGAGGTTCGGTAAGAACACCCGATCACCCGATCAGCTGCACGGCAGGGTGCCAGGGCAAGCTCACCACGGCAGCAAGGCCGGAAACATCAATCCCGAAAACAAGAAACTTCAGTCCCTGCAGCAAGGCCCCCCAAAAGCACTGGCACAGAAGCAAGTGCTGGAGAAAGTGCCTCCCATGCACAAAAGTCGACGCTACTCGGGACGCTTTGGCAGCAGAGGGTGACCGGTCCAGGACTGCAGGCGTAGAGCAGCCACGCGCACGGAGCAGCAAGGCGGCCTGCGGGCCCGCGAGATCCCGCGAGTGGCAGGGGAGAATCGCCAGCACGAGCACCTGATTCAATGCCGACACGAGGAGGAGCTAAAAGCAAGGTCTTTATCTTGCGATGCTCCGGCCAATGAACAGCCCACTCAAAGGAGTGGTCCACGGCAAAGTCGTAGGCCGGGCTAGCCGAAACGTGGAAGGCGGGGCCAACAGACCTGGCCAAAGAAAGCAGATGCGATAAAACCTGCCCATTATTAAATTATTATACAGATAACAGAGAAGCCTGTTTGGCAACGCGATAGCAAGAAAAGCTGTTGGTGAGGAGGCTGACCACCTGCACCAATCTGTTCTTCCAATGTCTCTTGTCGCTCCTTGGCCAGCGTGAGCTGCTCCACGAGCTGAAGCGAAGTGAGGAGGCTCATCTGCTGCGGCAGGTCGGCCGTGGTAACGTTTCTCTTGGGTGACGCCTTCTTGCCTGGCTGCGCCTGTTGTGCAGCACCTCGAGTAGAAGGCAGCCTGGTCGGCAGGGGTTTCGGCTAACCAAGCGCGGGCGGCAGTCAGCAGTTCGTCGATCAAGGGGGTAGCCTCGGGCTGGTGAGATCCGAGACCAGACCCTGGACCAAGTCGCAACTCAGCGCAAGGAACCGCAAGGCCCCATCAGCCAGCACCTAGAAGGAAGCGAGATTGCTCATTGCTCCCGCGGCACCACCAGCGGCGACAATAAATCGACTTCGGCAAGGGAAGCAAATTCTTGGCACACTGTGGCCGCACTCTCAAAGCCAACCGCCTCCTTGAAGTGCCGGCCCGATTGAAGTACAATGCAGGGCAAGCATGGCCCGAGCGGCGCAACACGATGTAGAAGCGAGGTCGCAGGGAGGATGGAAGCCGGCCGGAAGGCCTGGGTGGGCACGCGGTCAAGAGCGGGCTTGGCCCAATTTCCAGCAACCCACGCTGAGCCCGAGCAGCAGGTGGAGAGCCTGACCCGGCGAGGGCCCGGCAAGCAAGCAGGCAGCCATCAGGCACTGGAGCAAAGTCGGCCTCCGGCCGGTTGTATCCTGCCGTGAGATAGTGATGAACCTCAGAAGGGCCTGGAGCCTCACGAAAACCAGGCTCGACAGGATGCTCAGTTCCTGCTAGTTCCCAACCCTCGCTAGAAGCACTAGGGGAAGCTGGTGGAGGGAATCAGCAAGGTGGTCAATAGCCTGAGAAAGGTCCCGATCAGTCATGCAGCTGGCCGTTTAGAGGCAGGAGGGGCGAAGGCGGAGGGTGGAAAGGCTCCCGGAGAGGTGCCTTGAAAAGGACGTCCCTGAAACACCACAAGGTCAAACACCCCAGCAAAGGCCCACACCCAAAGCCAGGCAGAGCAGCAGCAAGGATCCCTGGCAGTGCGAGGGACAGCCTAAGCCCCACCAGTTTGACTAAGCCCCAGCTTGCATTAGCCGGAACGCCTGCTCCATCCACATCTTGAGCGGCAGACATACACTCACACCTCGCACTGTATGCTTCAACCATTATACTTAATTTCGTGCTTCGAACTCACCTGCGAGGGTCAGGCTAGCCTGCCACTATGGGCCGAGCAGGAGAACAGCTTTGCACATCAGAGCCGCCAGACCCGGGTGGCTGTTCCTGCTAGGTTGGTTTGTGCCGAGACTGTCTTATCCAGCCGTCCTGGCGAGGAGTGGCGGTCACATCTGATCGCTGCAATGAAGAGTATGCTGCAGTCGACACCAGGTCTGAGGTCCCCGCCTTGGCCCGGAACCAGCGCCCATCCCCAGGCCAGGAAGCCCAAACCTTTCGCGTTGAACACACTGCGGCCTGCTAAGTCTCGGCTCCCTCGTGAGCCTCGCTGTTCAGCGGAGGCAGCTCAGCGGAGGCGGCGCTGGTGGACCCGACCACATCGAGCGAACGACGCAGCTCGCCGGCGTCATCAGCAGCAGCCTGCCGAACGCTTCGCCGCTTCGCTCTCTCACACTCCCGACGCAGAACTGGAGAGGTCTGAGTGCCTCTTCGGAATGAAGCAGAGACGCCGACAGCAGGGCCAGGATCCACTGCAAGTCCTCTCACCGGCTAGACGGCTCAATGCGAAAAGAAGAAGCACGACATTGTCCTGTGCTGCAGAGTCCATGACAGCTTCGGCGCCAGGCCTCTTCGCCTGACAGAATGCGACGCACACTGCCGGTTGAAACGCTCAGTTAAGCGCCAGCGCGGCCTGAGACTTTTCATCCGCTGCATCGGACAGCAACACAAGCAACTGCCTGAGATGCGACTGGATGAGAAGTGCTTCCGTTTTGACTCGAAAACCAACACCCAGTACATCTCAGTACGCGCAGAGCAATGCGATGGCTCGCGGAGTCGAGGCCGGCACTTGACCAATGGAGCCGGCACAGCACAGGCACATGCCAAGATCTCCTGAGATCGTGCGTCCCGCACTGCCCCATGAGGAATTAGGATGCAGCAGGTCCTTCAGGCAAACGCCTGCCTCTTCCTCCAGCATCGGCCTGCCTCGAATGCAAGAACGTGGCATTCTGCCTCTGGTGAAGGCTCCTAAGGCTGTGGCTCCCTGACCCTTCAGCTTCTGCTTCTGCCGCTGCTCGCAGTACAGCCCGACCTTGCAGACATCACACAGCACTCAGGCATTACCGCGCCCACAGCCCAAGGAGTCCACCGGCTCTGGATCGCGTCAAAGCGGTCAGCGCAATATGCAGCGCTTGACTCCTTGGCGAAGCTTCAACTCTCGTTGTAGGTCATGTAGGCCACAGTAGGTCTTCACTAGTGCACCCACGAACACAATGCTTCTCGCGCGCCTTGCTGGCCCTTCAATCGTGAGCGGAGCTTTCAATATTCAAGCGAAAAAGGAGGGGCTATTGAAGCGTCTGCTCAGTGCAGAGCCGGGCCCCTCCTTGGTCGGGCCACTGTTTCGCTTTTGGCCGAGGTGCTGAAGCAAAGCCTGCAAGGCTTCAGAAGCCCTTCCAGCAGCCCTGCCTGAGGCACATGCCGTAAATCAGGCTTTTAGCATTGTCTCTTCACGTCTCATGCCGTGCACTCGCAACTTCCGGAAATGGCCTGGTGTGTCACTGTCCGCACGCTCCGTGCGCTTCAGCCGTGCCTCACGGTCAGTACCACATGCTGAGATTTGAAGGCAGGTGATGGCAGGTCGGTGGCTGTCCTGCCAGGCCCGGAGGACCTGAGCCACATCGGCCACCAGCAGCCTGATTCCACCTCCGGCGCAGTCGGCATCAAATTTCAATGCGCTGCTACCCAAGTGCCAAGTGCCAAGTCACCGGGGGGTTCCAGCTGCTTGGCTTCTCTGACGAACCTGTGGACCTGCAAGAAGATGTAGGTAACAAACAGGAACTGCAGGGCGAAAAAGCGGACTCGGGATGTGGCCAGCTCTTCCCGGGACCCGATTGTCAGATCCTGACACGCACAATGAAGCCGGAAACAATCACGTGAAGGTTGCAAGCAGACCTCGGAGGAGGTCAAGCCAAGCGAGGACACACCACCAGTGACCTGGGGCAGCTACGGCGGCTGCGGGCTCACGGCCAGGGCGAGGCCGTGGGCTGTGGGATGCTGTGGGCCTTGTCTGCGACGTTGCTTAGAGCTGCCTGGCCACGCACTCGCGGACCTTTTGGAAGCTCTGGCCTCGCCTTGCCTCGCCCTGCTCAGCCAAGGTTTGCGCTTGCGCCAGGAATTGCTCTCCGAGGTGCTGGAGCTCTGCCTCTGACAAGGAAGGCTCAAGCCTCAAGCGTGCTACCAAGTAAGTGCTTCTCAAACAGACGAACATGACTAAGCCCATCATACAGGAAGGAGGAGAGAGAACAAAGCCTAACGTATCCCAACGTCTTCGGAGGACCATGAAAAAATGAAGATTTGCGCGCATTGCGCCGTCGGACATCCTCCGCCGATGCAAATCCGCACTCTATGGCTGGTCATGGATCAGAGCATTTCCGACAACTGTGCAGTGAAAACATGCAGTGATTCGCAAGCCGGCGAGCCTGTTCAGCAAATCGTTGGACAGAGCTGGCCGCCCGGTTCCAGGTGTCCCTGAGCACTTATGCACGACTCCAGGCCCAGGCCGATCACGCTCGTTGTCCTGAACTGGTTGTTCCATTCCTGCCAAGCCAAAAAATGGCAGGCTTTGGGACCGCAACAGTGTCGTCCTGCGCCCCTCCCCGAAGCCAGGACATAGCACGCCGGCTCGAGGACTGTGAGGGCAAGGCTTGAATCGTAGTATTTGGGAATTCACAGTCTAGTGCACAGGGGAGGCACGCGGTGAAGCTCTCCGTGAATTTGCCTGCTTAAAACCGATTGGTATATTCTTGCCCGTGTCATGACTCGGTCATTAACTGTAAGGTTCTGATGCGGTCTGTTTGGCTGATCTGCTGGCTTAAAGCCCAGAACTCAGCGAGACTCGGAGTTGCTTTGCCATCTGCGAACACTGCCCAGCAGTAAGCAATGCGGAGTGGCAGGATGCAGGTGCTTTTTGTCAACGAGAGGGGCCTAGATGGCCAAAACAACCTGGCAATGCCTTGATAGCTTCCCGGCGAGGGTGAGACAACTCACGAGCGCATGCGCTATTCACACTCGAACTGACATTAATTTGGCGCTTCCCCAGTCCGCAACAGTGGACTGCCGTTTGGCTGTGGAAAGTGCCACCAGGCTTCACCTCTCTCCCAACTTCTCCGCTGAAGCAAGTGTGTGACAGCATGATATGACGGCTGCATGACGTCTACAACAATCGAAATTGGAAGGCAAAGCTTGTGACTGCTGTCGTGATGGGCTGTCTAGGCGCACTTTGTGCCGACCAGCACCTCTCCTGGCATAGCCAATTGGATGTTGTACCTCGTGCATGAGCTCTGCAATGCCGGGAATAGCCGGTGCTCTTACGTGGAAACAACTTGCAGCAGACAAGACCAAACCTCATTGCACCTTGATTGGATGCTTTGTGCTAGCAACAGTCGCTGAGAAAATGCTCGTGGCCTGCATTACATCATGATCTCCATAGAATGCCAGGCGTGCGAGACAGCCGCTCTTGTTGTAAGCTATGATAAATGCCTGCATCGCCAATATTCGGCTTGCCGCATTTTCCTCTTCGTTTGCGCCTTTCGGGCGCAACCCGGTCCTACTTGATCTACCGAAGCTGCTGACCGTGAAAAGCGACCTTTTGGCCAACTGCACTGAAAGCGTGTGGCGCCACCGGGCAAACTTGGTGAAGGCATGTCTTGCATTTGGGCCAGGGCCTCCGTTGGTTTTGTTTAGTGTGTTCACGATTCTTGAGTACACAAACAGCAGGCCGCTGCAAGATTGCCTCGTCTAGCGAGCACTGAGGCTTGCCTTTGGCAAGACAGGCACGCTTGTCTGATGTCATCCGCAAGTTGAAGCTGCAGCGGATTCCAGTGACTTGACGGAGGATAACACAACGTACCTTGGCTGCACGGGTCTGTGGAGTCTTCATGCTAGGATCGGTCCCGAGCGATCCCGAAGCCCGCCTGCTTTCCGGTCATATCAAGTATTTGCAGCAAGTCATTGCAAAAGCCACAACAGGAGAGCAGGAATCCATCCAGGGAGTGAAAATCAGTCACTAGCACAGTATGAGACCGTTCAACTGGTTGCACTGCGTTGCTGCTAAAAGGAAAGCTTGGATGTCGAGCTTGTTCAGGCTTTTTGTGTCAACGCCTTCCAGATGATGAGTCTGGGTTTCCGTTTTCTGTTGACTGTCTTACACTGCCCATATTTCCAAAAGTCCCCCTGTGTCCGTTCTTTAAACTTTACGTGGCTTCACCTTTCTCGGCGCTTCGGCAGAGGCGACTTCTGAAGTCAAGCTGGCAAGATAGATGATCTCATTGTGGGCTTGTGTCGTTGCTGCCCACATGCGAAAGTTGCAATTGCTACCCCCGGCTTCCTTTAGCCGGGCTTAGGGGCAAGCGTTGCTGCTCGATCTCATTCAGAAGCTGGATCCACGTTTAGTGCCAATTCATGTGCTCGACAGTCCACCTGTCCGCTTCGCCTGCCTCCGTCACAGCAAACATACATTGTAATCAGTTGCTTCTTGGAGAATCCTCGGATTGAACCTGACGACCGCCTGCGGCATCCCGATGTTGAGACAAGGTGCACAGGTCATGACATGTTCTTTGATAGGCAACTTGGCGAAGCAAGGTAAGCGAAAACTAAAACTCCACAAGCAGCACAGACTCTCGCGGCCCTCGCCCATGCCGCATTTCGGGAGTGCATCTTCAAATGCAAACCACATCGGCACAACCAACCAGCGCGCGAACTAACGAAGCGGAAGTCATGCTTACGGTGCACTCCGCAAGGAATGAGATCGAGCATGGAAGATGCACATGGCTGCCGTGCCAGCTCGGTAAGCCTAGTCTTAAGTGAACTCAAGCGAAGTTGTAAGCTGCACCTAGCTCACCAGGCAGCGATAACATGTTCACCGAAAGCCCAAGCATGGTGAGGGTGTGGTACCCGCAAGTGTGCATAAACTGGTGTCTTGTGGCAGGTTCTTCTATTACGTTACATGACGGTCTCTCAGTTTCAATGCATGAATGTGAAACGACTCCCTTCTTGGTGCCGCACCTCCTTGCACTGCAACGCTCTTGCACAGATTTCTTGGGCTGTCCACACTTGCACTGTTTTCAATGGGGTCGCAGTTGTTGGAAGTTGCTTCTCCAGAAGCTGCCTGCTCACATGAGCGACAAGAACGATGCTCATCTAGTTACTACACTAACAGCGCCAAATGACGAGGAAAGAAGCAGTTGGCAACGGCTGCATCGGCTTGCGACGTCAATTAGCTCACACAGGTGGGCGGTTCAAAAATTCAAGCTAGCATGCAATGCATGCATCGCAATCCGCCCTCGGCTGAGCTTGTTGTAGCTCTTCTGTGATACGCGTTTGGGGAAATTTGATAAACGTTCAAAGATCACAGCACTCCGAGTGCACAGGTCCTGCGTGGAGTTGTGCGCTTTGGTTGTGAAAGCAGAGCACAGGCCACGAAAAGTCTGGGTCGGAGCTGACTCAGCCCCTCGCCGTAAGAGTGAAAAGTGGCGCAACACGTGCCCTTCATTTCGAAAGGGTGCTGTGCTTGGTTTGTTCCTTCTGCACAGGTCTTCCTTGCTTCCTTCCCTTCATGTTTGGCTATCCACCAATTGGCCTTCCGGCGTTGGCACCAATCATCTGCTTAGGCCGCAGAAACAGCCAACAGCCCCCTTAGCAAAGCCGGATGCCCGGCTGCCAAGTTGCACGCACCAAACCATCACCAACATCACGCTTGTGATGCGTTTGAAGACTCTTGGGCCACCAAGCTCCCCACCAAAAGCCTCAGGTCTCCATCATTCGAATCTCGAGAAAGGCCCCGACTCTAGCGCCTTGCCTTCCGTCGCAGGAACAAGATGAACATGCAAAAGAACGCCCCGACACTGAAGATCACCACGCTGTAGCCCAAATCTCCACCTGCTCGGGCTGTGCAGAGTGCAGAGCATGCGGCTTGGTCTTGAGGTACACGCCGAGTCTTTGAACACAGCACAGACTGCATTGCCACAAGAGGCTCAGCATTGTGATTAAACGTGGTGCATTGCTTCGTGATGGTGGCTGAGCCCCGATTCGGTAGGCTCCTCATCGAGACTAGTCGGCTATGAATTGCCCTGCATTCGGATCATTGAAAAACCATCTGCAGGAGGCCAGCTACAAAGAACACTACCAAAGAATCCCTGCTTCCTTCCCACCTGTCCGGTCCGAAAGAAACACGACGCTCGCAAGCAGAAAGTGTAATGGGCATCCACAGCAACTGCCTAGGAGGCAACAAACCGAAAGCTGGACATGTTTTTTTACGACGACATGCTGGTGAAAAGACTGGTCTTCGCTTCTTGTTTGTGGTGTCGGATGTCCTTCAGACCACGATCAATGCTGCGCTGCCGAGGTGCTCTCGGTCAACGTGCACTTGATCCGACGAAGGGGATTGATGAGCACTGAGTGCAGCAGATGACAGACCGAAAGATTGTTGCGATCCCATTTTCCGAACCTGCATCGCGCTTCCTGTAAACAGATGTCGTACTCCCATGGCAAACACACACAGAGACACATACATATATATATATGTATGTATAGATAGATAGATATATATATATATAAAGCTGGAGAAAGACAAGTCGACAAAGGCAAACAGCCAGACAAACAGCTGAGCAGAGTTAGCAAACGTCTACAAACCTGCGCCTCGTCGGTGCTTGACCGTCGCTGTACCACTGTGAATGCTGAGTGCACGCACCACTGATGCACCGGATCGTGCCGTGGCAAGCACACAACAAGCATGGACCGGAACGCGGCCTCAAACTTGCACTCTACGGGAATGGTGAGACATGTCTCGTTTGCAGGGTGGACACACACAAGCAAGGCCTTTGAGTCGACGCAAACGCTATTCAGACTGAGATTGGACTACGATGTGGAACGAAGACGAAGACAACCCATGAACCCTGAGCCCGAGCACAGGATAAACGCAAGAGGCCCTCCATCCTGACAACTCTCCAAATGGAAGCGTTGTAGCCTCTTGAGATATCAGAGCCAAAGGGCCCTGCCTATAACGATGAATTTCCCACCGCCCGTGTTCCAGAGGTCGAAGTTGGCCTCGTCACACGGCCGCGTCTGTTTTTTAGTTAAGGCACGCGGGAGCGCGGGTCTCTTTGCCACTCTCTCTCTCTCTCTCTCTTCGCGCGAGAGGCGACGGGAGGCCCCCGGCCGGGGGGCCCGGCCTCGGACTCGTACTTCTTCTGCCACTCCGCACTGCGACCCACCGAGGCCCAGTAGCAGGAGCCAATCGTCCAAGGGAGGCCGAGTCCAAGAAACCTCAGCAGTTCGCGTCTCTCGTGTTGCTCCAGCTCTCTTTCGCATCATCTCATGCTCTGCCCTCTCCTGAGGTCGTAGCACATTGACCGAGTTACTGCCGGTCACGTTGCCGATCGAGGCATCGGCATAAGGATCCTGTCCCAACAGGCCGTTTAATCTGCCCAATAATCCGAAATGGAACACCATCATGCGTGTCTAACTGAAGACTAAAGCATTGGACTGCATGTTCTTACGACAGCGACTGGAGCCATTCTGACCGCCATACAGCCTGCTCTGCGGCGGCTTTGGATGCAAACGTGTCCGGCAAGGAGGTGCCTAAAGCAACCTGAAGCAGCTTGACAATGTGTGTTTCAATGGAAGTTCGCGAAGATCTGCCAGCGATCACAAGCTTGGATGTGCACCAATGTAATTGCCGTAATGAAGTCCGGCAGGTCCAGAACACAGCCCACAAGACCCTCAGCAACACGGATGTGCTGCATGTGGAGCCACTGCGAACTCATCTTGGTCGCCCACAGCTAGATCGCTGATGAGCGCTGTCACCAACCCAATGAACATCAGCGAGAAGTAGAAGCACAACCAGCCACCACAGTAGTCCTTACAGGTGCATCGAGCCAGCGCGAAGCACGCATGTGACTGTCCTCCGCAGTGTGCTTAAGAATCCGACGACCGGCGGAATAATGGCAAAGAGCAGTTTCCACGGCATCGTCAGAAGGTGCAACGCCCACTGAAAGCCAGAGGGGGGACCGGCCTGCACAAGCCACAACCTATAGCTGTATTATAGACCCTCTCAGGATTTCGGAAAGGCTGTGCTGACTTTGTTGAGACGTGCCATCTATGATGGACTCGGTCGTGAGCACGTGGCAACAATCAAGGAAGCAACACATGTTTCCTCATCGTCACCGCCGTTGACCAGCAGGGCATTGATGAACTGATCCTCCGAAAAAACACGTTTACAACAGACCATACACAATACAAATACGTCTTCCAAAGCCGGAGACCGCCGGTCCTTCCAGTTCTCGTGACCCTTCTGCGTCTTTTGCCAATTCACTCCCAAAGCCCGCATAGTTCTGTGGGCGAGGTTCTTGGACACCTGGCACAACGCATCCACGTATGGCTCTCTTGCTTGAACTCGGGAACCGGCTCGTGAGCGACGGACTTGGTGAGAGGCTTCGTGTTGACTGCACTGTGGAAGAAGCGAACAGACACATCTGTAATTCCCAGCTACTCGTCGTGGAGTGGCTTTCACCTCACCTCCTCAGGTGTGAGAACGAAGGTGACGATGCAGCTGTCCTCAGACATTCATTGTGACGAGTCGGCATCCTTTCCGGCCTGGCCTCCCTTGCAACCGAGCGACGGCTCCCCCATCCGTATTAGGATCGAAGCCTGCGCGTCCAGTTGCATCCGACAATATGAGCCGGAAGTCCTGAGGACAAAAGCAGCTTCTGGGACTTTCGGTGGCTTGGTACACACTGAAAGCTTGTGAATAGTTTGATAGTCCTGAATCAGAGACCATGCACCGCACCCCAAGACGGACCTTCGCTAGACCCAAGGCGCGCTGGGTCAATGTGATGCGACCTTGCTTTTCTTGAGGGGGGTCAACGGAGTGGACGTGGTTAGTGTAATGGAAGTTTAAAAAAAACAAGAAAGGCTTAAGATTAAATGCTGACAAGAATGTAACATAAACATCCTGAACTCCTACAGCTTAAGTGTAACTTTAGGACGACGAAGAGACGATGACAACGACAACCAGTACTAATCAATACTACCAACACCACTATGAAACGACGCCGACGACAACGCCTAGAGGCCGAGAGTCAGGGATGGATTAGATCCTTGCTCTGATGTTTCTGAGACCCCTTTGGCTCCTCTTTGTCCTCAAAGGTGGCCGAGTTCAGGATGGAGATGGCAATCTCCGCGCTAAACTCCTGCTGCCCAAAGGTGATCACACCCTCGGCTCGGGCATAGTCACGACCTCCACAGGTCGAGAGCAACAGGAGTAAGTTGTTTCTTAGCACTGCCCCTGACGTTTCAGAAAATGGCAAACATCCTTACACCGGTGCCTTCCACAGCGCTGCCATCCTGTGCGTGCGAAACCGCGCTGACAGACCCTTGGAAGCGATGCCAACGGGAACAACTCACGGCCGAGTGCCTCTGTCGCATACTTACATGACACGACTCCGCAGCCGTCGCGACGCCTGGCACGCAAAGGCTTGAAAGGCTGTTCGACCAAGTTTGCGTAGCAGGTGCCACATCGCAGTATAGTATGCTTGCACTCAAAATCTACACAAGCTGACAAGTTCTGAAACAAAACTCTTCGCAAATTCTGCCTGACGGTCATGTGAACTTCTTTGTCCTTTGAGACCTCCAGGACCAGGACTGCGGCCGCCAGACTGCTGCTAGCTGCTAGATGCTGCAGCCGATGGCATTCCCATGCACGCAGCGCAGGCACTACAAATCCAGATTCAGCTCGTGCCTCATCAACCTGCACCACATCGTCATCCGTGTAGATGATGCTGGGCTTGTCAGTGTCGACGATGACGACCCTGTGGAATGAGCCCACAATGCGTGCCCAGGCATGCGGCTGCACAGAGCAATGCACAGAGCAATGCACAATGCACAGCACGGCGCAAGGCTCCCAGCCTTGCAGTTATGACCGGCCCGAGGACTGCAAAGCCATCCTGCCCGAGGATGGCTTTGCCCGCGGCCCGTCAACCCGTCTGCTCAGCACTCGCTCAGCACTAGCAAGTCTAAGTTCCCGTCCTTCGAAGAACATCTCACGTTTGCGAGATCCACGAAAAAGTCTTCGCTGTCCTGCAGAGTGGCACACTGACAACTCGAGGACACATCATCCCTTTCAAGATTGAAGCCACTCCTGAATGCCTGCATATGCTTTTTATACCATGCACGACAGGGAAGATCAGAAATCTGCCAGACCTCTGGAATATCATCTTTCCAGATCTTGATGTCGATCGTCTTCTCGGCCTTCACCAGAAAGCCAACTATCCGGCAGACTCACACCGCAACGGCACCACATGTGCGGGCTCCTCCTGTGGCAGGAAGGTCAATGTGCCTTCAGCTGCCTCGAAAGGCAAAAAAGCAGCGGTCTCGTCCCACGTCTGGCTTTCAGCATTTCTGGCCTCGTAGTCTTCACCTTTTCTCGCGAGGCCATCTCTGCATGAATAGTCCACGGACACGGAGAGCGACAAGTTTCCGGTTCGCCGCACGGGCACTCTGATCAAGCCAACCTCATCAGACGAGACTCAGTGCACTCTGCGAGGTTAAATCACAAGCGCCAGGCTGTCTCGAGCACGGCGAAATTCTCACCACCAAAGAGAACCGTGGCTGAGGGAGCCGGTGGAGCAACGTAAGCACCTGCAAAGCGGTCATCTGAGCACGCCGACAGTGCGACACTTCGAAACACCTGAAGCTGGCAGCGGAGGTTCTTCCACGGGCACCACGGCGGAGAAGTTCTGATTCCTCGCCGCAATCCGAGACTTTGAGGATGCAAGACGCGAGTCAGACCCGTCCTTTGCTGTTTTCCAACTTCTGCAGGCTTGCCATGGTAGACTTGATCGTGGGCCCGCTTGCGATAAGCTGCCTGCACTGCAGGCTTTGGCAATGGGCACCTAAATCCGAACAGCCTATGGCCTAGGCTGAACCAGCAACACAAGACACCTTGGACATTCTCTGCGACTCCGTGCCAATATACTTGGCGAGCTCTTCATCGGAGAGCTGCATTCCATCTGCCTGGTCACCATGTGCGCTGCGCAGTAGAACTTCACAGTGAAATCTGCTTCTGTCCTTGCTCATTCGCGCCATGTCTTCATCAGTCAGCTCAAGCTTCCCCTGGACAGGCTGTCGCTAAACATGGCACTGCTACCTCACAGGGCAACACCGCCACCAGAATGGCAAGGTTGTTGAGACTCGCAGCACAAAACCGGCGATGCTTAGAGGGGTAGTCGGTGCCGTTACTTTCTAGTGCACTCGTGCTTGTGGGCGAAGCTATGCGACGCATTCTGGCCAGTGAGCAGACGAAAACACCCCGACACTTAGCAATCGAACGTTACTGCACGGTTGAACACCGAGGCTATTGAAGGGGCTGGCCGGATGCACGCACTCAAGCAGCATATGGATGACAGAAACTCCTGAACCTGCCGTAGTCTCCATTGACCTTTTGGGTGTGGGAGGGTGAGTCGGGGGACCGTGCCAGCATCATCGGCATCATCGGGACCCTGGTTCTTATTCCGGTCCGAGACCTGCCTCGGGGGTCGGTTTCGGATGAACCTAAGGCTGTCCGCTAACAAGCTACGAGCAGTTCCAATGAGGGACAGCATTCACGTGGGACCGGGCAGCTGGGCACGCCAGGTGTATAGGAGAAGGAGCTGACATCTCGATGTGACCATGGACAATCACCGTCATCATGCCAATTCCCGCACTGGACGAAGAATTCTCAAACCGCAGATCGCGCCGGGGTGTCCGCAATAATCCAAACCCAAAGTGGGGTAGAATGGGCGGCAAGCCCAATATCCCGAAGTGAGCGCCTCATAATCCGCTCAGCCTGGAGGCGGTGGGGAATGCGATTTTTGGGCCCGTCCCCCCCCTCCACCGCTTCCGGGCTGGCCCCTCCTGTGCGGGCGTGGACAAGCATGGCGCATCTCGGAGCCGGCTCCGAGGCGGCTCTCGCACGTAGCGATTAATGAAGAGAGTTAGTAAGTGTGTCTCGTTGTCACAAAGCGTTAAACGCCAATTCAACAATCCTAAACAAGAAGTGATCGTTTCCAAAAAAACCTCAAATGTTAGAGGTTTGAGTTGCGAAAACCCTAAAAGGAGGCACTGGTTGCCGAAAACCCACCCCACAACGATGAAAGAAGTGAGTGGTTGCGAACCACCGAACCGAGTGGCAAGCCCGAGTGAGTGCTGCAAAACCCCAAAATCGCAGGCGTGTCCAAAAGCCACCACCAACACCCTAGAAACCGTTCGTCGGCTCTTTATGCTTGTCGGATTGGTTTACGACTCTCGCCTGGACTGTGTCCCACTCGCCCAGTCCTGTTTTCTGACTCGGCCCTCTCCGTTTCCGGACTGAGCTTCCTGACTTTCTGCCAGGGTGCCCGACTTCGGCATTATTTGATTCTAACTAGAAATACCCTGAAGTTAATGTCCTTTCTCAACCCTAAAAGATGTACATCAACCCTTAAAGATGTAAACCCTGAACCCTGAAACCCCAACACTCAGCTCATCTTTCCTGATACACCCAAACCCTACATCCCCTAAGTGCCATGCAACATGCTAAACCAAAACCCCACAGCCTAAACATGCCTAAACCCTGCAACTCTGGCAAGTGCGTAAATCGCTCGTGCTTGGGGCTCAGTTTCGTGCTTGCACCGTCGGTGTTCGAACCGCTGGCGTGCTTGAATCGCAGGTGCTGGGATCCATCTTTGCATCAGCTCAGGGCATACAGGCTATAGAGGCTACGTTAAGCTTTGCCGTAGGGATCCTTGGAGGAGCGTGGCTGGTACAACTTGCATACGTAGCCTTGGAAGGAGGCGAGGCACGAACGTATTATCAGAGGGGGTTGAGGGGGTTCTCTTTCAGGGAACGTGAAGATTGTGTTGCGCCGCCGCTTTGCGGTGCTTGGGCTTGGACGCTCATGTCAGCTGAAAGGATCTGAAGACTGGGACAAAGGTCAATTGGAGCAGAAACGGATGCGGCACGTGTCGGTTGAAGAAAGTCAGTTGGATCTGAACTCAGGTGGCAGGGCAGCTTGCAGCCTACAGCACTCCCGACCCGCCGCCTTCTGCACGATGTGCAAATCAGAGTTTGTGCGGCTGATAAAGGTGATGTAGCCTGTCATGTTCTGATCAATACGACGAGAACCGCATGTTCTCTCCTCTACCCCTCTTCCCGATTCACAGGAGGACTACAGGAGGCACCTTTGTCGGCAGCGAAGGCGATCGCGACGAGCATGGGAAAGTAGAGGAAAGTGAGAATGCCTAACAATAAAGACGTTGCTGACAGAAAGGCAGAGAGGCAGGCTAAAGAGACTGAGAGAGTGGGATACTAAAGGCTGCATGTGTACGTGTCCATATAGATATATGCATACATACATACATACATACATACATACATACATACATACATACATATGTGGGTGTATATATACATATATATGTATGTATGTATGTATGCATGCCTGCATGTGTGTGTGTGTGCGTATATGTATGTATGTCTGCATGCATGTCTGTGTGTCTGTCTCTGTCTGTCTCTGTCTGTCTCTGTCTGTCTCTGTCTGTCTCTGTGTCTGTCTCTGTGTCTGTCTCTGTGTCTGTCTCTGTGTCTGTCTCTGTGTCTGTGTCTGTGTCTGTGTCTGTCTCTA